CACACTAAAACCCACCTTTTCCTAGTTTTCTCCATTCCAACGGGTAAACTTCGAAAAGCGATTTCTCATTCACCCGTTATCCGTTTTGAGCGTACCATATATCGAATTGTAGCCCTAAGCAAGGACAATCCGAAACCACTTTGACCCGACCCAAATCGGAAGTGGACCCCACTCAAAAATTGCCCCAAAATGACCATCTAATGCAATTTTAACACACTTTTTCCAACAATTGATGAGTCTAAACTTGTAAACCACTTAGGGTTGCCTTCAACATTAACTATGGGGGGAATGATACTTCTTCGAGGGTTGAAATTGAGGAAGAAGTGGGGATTCAGGCAGAGCATCACAGTGAGTGTGAAAACACACATGAAGAAGAAAAAGATAATGAGGTAGCACCAATTCAAATGGAGAATGTGAAGAGCATGAAGGAGACATACCATATGATGATGATCAGGCTTCCTTAGAGGGTGAAGAAGATTTATATTCAACATGAAGCACGTTGGGCAATTAAAAGACACTCTGAAATACTGCCAGTACCATTTTGAGCCTCTTATACATCAAGTGATAACCTCTTTTAACATAACCAGACTACGTTCAAACTGCCAAGGCCCTCCATCAAGCACACGCTTCATATCAAAACGATGATTAAAAGAAAACAGATACCTTTTTTTCTCCAATTTCTTTCACCGACATACCTTTCCCCGGCCTCCATAGCGTAAGCAACGTTTCTTTGAGATCCGTAAATTTGACCTTACAATCGGTCAGCACTTGACCAATCACCGGAAAACCGCTCGCCACTTCCTCCGCCGGACTGCCTTCAATCTCTCCTTCATCAAGATTCAGTTCCTCTTCTTCATCGCCGATCGCCATCTGCTTGTAACGATCAATAACACTCTTCATAAATCTTCTGTTGACCTCCGCCGTAGTCCCTGTTACTGCTCTGCCGATCGGCTCTGCTCTAGCAATCAATCGGTAATAGCCGATGTCTTCACACCTCCTCCTAAGCACTGAACTTCTGGTTATAAAAACCAAACCCACCGCCTAAGCCACCAATCCTAGTCTTCCAACCAGCCCTGCACACCACCGCCCAATCCAACCAATAAAACTCGCCCTTCGATAGGATCGAAGGCGGGCAAACCAAACCTAAGGGTTATCAGCCGATAACCCTAGTAGAGAGAGAGAAATCTACTATGCACACCTCTTTTTTCCAATTATTGGACCGATTTATCCTTCTTGCTCACGAAACTCATGCACTGCACGAACCGTAATGCTAAAGTTAAATGTTAACGTTTTATTAATTATTAATCTAAAAAGCAATTGACTCAATGACTCAACTATTTAAAAAGTTGAGTTTACGATTAAAAAAATAGTTGAGTGTATTGATACATTTTATTAACACATTTGAAATCCCAACATTTTATTAATAAATCCTACCCTTTTATTAATTTAAAAAGCAATACATTCAACTATATAATGTTTTGTTCACATCATTGACTGAACAAGAAAATTTTAATTCATAATGAATGAATTTCTCTATATATCCTATATTTTAGAATGTTAGATTGATATGATATATCTTTACTTGTCTAAAGTTTTGTAATATTAATTACAAAAAAGTAAATTTTTAACATGATTAAATTTATAGTGTAATGGGTATTTTCACTTCAACTCGATTTAGTGTCATATCAGACTACAATTACGACGATGGTGTTACATGATGAGAAACACCACTTCTTCATTGAATTAAACCATTTAAAGAATGTCATATTGTTATAAGAAAATTCATTGGAATTGTATTGTTTTTTTTACTCCAGGGGGGTCTGGGGGAGGAGGTCTGGGGGGAGCCTGGAGTAATCAGGGGATTGAGTTTCAGACCCTTATGTGCCTAGTGGGATTCGAACTCGAAACCTCCCACTAGGCACGACAACCTCGCAAGCAGCTGAGATGGAATGTTTGGTTCATTGGAATTGTATTGGTTGATTGATATATATTATAAATACATAAATGTTTTGTTTTTAATTTTGTACAATTCTATATTGAATTATGTATTTATATATTTGAATAAGTAACATTTTTAATTCTAGTAAACTAATTATATTATTGATTTTTTATTGTTTGACTAATTTCCAAGGTGGAGGGTCCCACCTTTTAAAACTCGATTGACACCATGCTGATTCCGTATTACGACCATATATGTCACGTGACTAGATTTAGGATGTGAATGATATTTATAATATTTTTGATTAAAATGATTTCTCATGCAAAAGATGACTATTGAAGCTATTTCTTATACAACTCTTTCTTTATCTTGGATTTTCCCACAATTTAACAGATTTATTAAATTTAGTCACTTCAATCAGCATGCTTATGATGTTTTCTTTTGAATTGTTTTCAGTCCCAGACTTGAACAAACTTTAATTTCATAGTTATAAAATACACAGAGATCATACATTTACTAAACCAAACCAAACCAGATCAGATCAGTCCAGACCAACAAATTTATGTTCAAGAGAAAACATCTTTACTAAACAAGTGAGACTACACAAAAATTTAAAACTTTCTTAAACTTTTTAGATTTAATTTAAAAAAATATTATTTTTAGTGTAATTTATTTTTATAAAGATCGAGTCATCATAAATGTAAAACTTATTATTTTTTAAAATTTAATGGGGGTTATTGATCACGTGTGAATAGGGGTGGGTAAAAATACCGAAATATCGGTATACCGCACTTACCGTACCGAAAAATACCGGAAAGTACCGAAATATTGGTATACCGTCATTTTCGGTACGGTATCATACTGTACCGGTCTATTTCGGTACGGTAACGGTAAATGTTTTCAAATACCGCGGTATACCGGTATAATACCATACCGACTCCCTACTCAACAATTACTTTTAATTCTAATACATTGTAGAAATCCATTACAATTTTGAAGCCCAAAATTAATACTTAAGTTGGTTACAAATACAAAAAATACAAAAATAAAGGCCCAATTTCTCAAAGCCACTATAACCTTATAGTGGTACAAATGAGTAATGTTAAATGTAGGCTTCTACTATGCTAATCTTAAATGACTAATGAGTAATGTACAAATGTCAAGAAACAAGTCCATCTTGTTCCAAGAGCTTGCAAGTCGTGATGGGTGGGCCGCTAAGTAGCTGACGAGTGAAGAGAGATACACTTATGTGACAAGTGTATCTACATAGGGATTCAGCGAGTCGAGACACACAACTTTGTCCGAAAGTCTTATTCAATTTTTAAAAAATTATAAAAATGACTAAATGCACAATATCATATTAGGAATAAATGATTTTATATCCATGTTGTTTGAATAGTTTTATTTATTTTTGTTAGAGATCACTATTAATTTAATTATATCTATATTGTTCAAGTTATTTTAGGAGAATGTGTTACTTTATAATATGTGGTATGTTGAACTGCTTAAATATACTAATTATAATTATTGTTCAATATTGAATTGACATCAATATATTATTAATTGTATTTCGTAACATTTTAATAATAGATTTAATAAGTCGCTAGTAATAACGATTTACTATATTTCATTAGTCTATGATAATTTTTTGTATTGGGAGACATGCACGGTAATTTACCAATACCGTACCGTTACCGAACCGAAACTTCGGTATACCGAAATGCGGTATACCGAAACTTCGGTAAGGTAAAGGTATTAGGGGTGGGATCGGGTCGGGTTGGGTCGGGTTTTTGTTAGGACCGTAAAAAACCCGAAAAGCTTCGGGTTCTACATTTTTGGGCCCGATTGGCGGACCAATACTTTCGGGTTGGTCCGGGTTTTAAGAGCCTCGGGTTCGGTCGTATTGAACCCGCAAAAAAATCGAACTGATGTATCTAAACACAATTAAAATACAATTACAACAAAAATTGCAAACATCTAAACTTTTAATCAAAAAAATATACGTAGTATATTAAAATTAAAGCAGTATATTTTGAATATAAAAATCACACAATAGAAAATGTTGTAGAAGAACAATTGGTTCGAAAGCAAAGTAACATTCCCTCCATCCCAAATTGATTTACAAAGTCAAGGTTTATTGGTCAACCAATGTTAAAGTTAAATACTCCATATTGATACATCATTCAATTTTTTATAATTAAAATTTATATATTAACAAATTACATTAAAATATATTCAAAGTTGTAAAACTCCAAGTTAAATTTAATTAAAAATTGACATCCAAATTAAGTGAATAAAATAAAATTGTTTGACTTAAAAAGTCATTTTTACAAATCAATTTCGGACGGATGGAGTATAAAATAGTCCGAATGTATCATACACACACACATATATATAAATAAATCGGTATGATGTATTAATAGGTCATACATATTTTATAATATATATATATATATATATATATATATATATATATATATATATATATATATATATATATATATATATATATATATTAGTTTCTTAACTAAATCGGGTTTTTTCGGTCCGGGTCGGGCTTAAAATTTTAGAACCCGAATTAGGACCCGAGTTTTCGGGTTCGGGTCGGGTATTTCAACCCGGACCGGTCATTTTTAAAATAAAACCCGGACCAATATCATATATCGGGTTGGGTCGGTTCGGTTATCGGGTTTTGGGTCGGTTTTTCCCACCCCTAAAAGGTATGCAAATTTTGCATACCGAAAGTTTTGGTACGGCAAAGGTATGAGAAAAAATATAAGGTATACCGTACCGAACCATCCCTACGTGTGAAGCTATATTGTTAAGGAACAAATTTAATACGGAGTAAAAGAATTGAAGATATACTCCATTCGTCCCCTTTTAAATGTCTCGTTTTACCATATTGGGATATCTCTATTTAATTGTCTCATACCCTATTTGGTAAAGTTTGTATGACCCAAAATCATTCTTACTTTATTTTTACTTTATCAATTAATATCAACCACACAAACTCACTTTTCTTAAAACTCGTGTCAAATATCTTCTCCAAAAAAAAAAAATCATTTGTATACTCTGAAATTAAACAACCTACCGCGAGCATTACAATTCAAAACCCTAGCTGCGCTGAATGTAGAGTAGTGCGCACGGAAGAGAAGCCAAATATGGATTCTTCAAAATCACCATCCGTTCCTCGCCTTTCCGATCGGTATTTTTTTATTCAACCCTTTCCCTACTATCTTCTTTCTCCTTCGTGGGTTCGATTGTTTTCTGCATCATATTTTTGCAAAGGTTGTTTAAATTTCGAGGGTGGCCAAACCAAACTCATATCTTATTCTTCTCCTTCTTAACTCATCATATATTTAATTTTTTATCGTATTTATCCGGATGTCGTACCTTTTTCTTATCTAGAAGTTTTAGGTTGTTTTGAATGATTAACAGTAGTAATATAAATACAAAAAGACCATTAGGATCTTACTTGAAAAGAAAACCTTAATATGAAACCACGGGAGTACTATCCTTTTAGCCTTTTGAGATATTGTGTTTGCTCTCTTTATGATTGTTCAATGATTCTAAGATGTAAAAAATCAGAGCTCTTCATGAATTCGTTTGGGGTTTTTTAGTTTGGTGTTTTGTATGGTTATAGAGTGGACGATGCTGACTGCCTTATTGATTCCATCCTTGATGAGTAAGTCTTATGGAATTAGTTTTTATATCATCGTAATGAATATTACATGTTTGTTTGGTCCAGGTTAGATTAATTGGTGAACAGAGAGTCAAACACATTTTTTGGGGTTATATATGTACGACTGTACGTGTGTATGTCTACTCATATACTTCTACACATACAAACTAAGTAGCACCGGGACTAAAATGAAACTGAAAAATGTGGGAGTGGAAGTGAAGACAGGGAACTCTAATCTCAAAATATTAAGATCAAAATTTTGTGAGGCCATGTTTATGTGGGTACGGGCCTACTGCACAGAACGTCGAACTAAAAATTAAAATTTTACTAATAAAAACAAACAACCATTATATGAGGTAATGAGGTTATGTTTATGTCCAATAAATGCGAAATAAATAAACCAAAGTGCCGATACCGGTTGCCACCTAGTTCGACGTCAGAGATCCTAGACTCTGCGGCTGCAATTAAATCTGGACTTGAGACTGCCGAAGTGCCAATACCAGCCTCTTTGCTTGCGTCTGGCGTTATGCTGCAAGTCCCATGCTCCTGGTCGGACTAGGTCTTCCTTCACCCAAGGGTGTTTCGCTCGAAATCCAATCTCAGATAGGAAGGGGTCTAGGAGATCGTAACTCGAGGATCGCAAGATCCTAGAAGCTAAGCTACCATGCCAGTTTTCAAAAATTAATAACATAATGCCAGTTTTCATTTTCAATTATATAAAGTAAAACATTTAATATAACAAGCATAAGGTTTATTCTAGGCAGAGAGGATGAAATAAATTATCGGTAAACAGAGAGGGTCGAAGAGAAGACTTGAAAGCCGTATAAGATTGTACGGAGAAGGGACAAAGATTGTACTGAAGAAGGCGACACCCCCAGGCTTGCTTTTATAGAAGAACTGAAGAAGGTGTCACTGTTAGACATATGGTGCAAAGGCCTAGTCAGTATTTTAATAAAGTATATAAGAGGAGAAATAAGGGGCCTGGGGTCAACTTGTTAATTATTTTTATCTGTTTGTTCCAACGTTTGCAATTGCGCAATGCAATAGCGCCTCATGGCGCGCCTTGGCTATTTCCGTAGGTAAGGCGTAAAATTGCATTGCATATTGCGAGCAGGTCTGTAGCGTACGTTTATTGCGTTGAGGCGTACGCAATTTAACTTACGCAATGAGGCGTAAGTATGGCGTATGTTATTTTGTTTGATGGGTCTTGTTTTTTTTGTCCGCCGGGCCCAGTTTTTAAGTAAAATAGACCGACATAGGGTACAGGGTATATTACATATACGTAGTAGTATATATGCGGCCATCTTCCCATCTATTCTCTGCGAAATCACAATTGATACGCAATAAGCAAATAACTAGTTCTTTCCTCCCCCTGCTCTCTGTTTGGTCCCTTCTTCCACCTTCACTGTTGGTGAAACCTCTTGGACAGTTCTACGGTACTGCTTCTCTCTTTGATGATTAATTTTTGTTTCAATTGAATTTATTACTAAATATTAATGTTAATTTTCTGCTTATAAATACTTCATGTTTTCCTGCGATTATATAATGATAACTTCAACTTTGTACTGCTTCTCCTTTGATGCTTTGTTTTTGACACTTTTGGTTTCCATTGAATTTAATACTGAATAGTAATGTTAATTTTCTGCCTATTAATTAATACCTAATGATTTCTTCCAAAAAAACTTAATGATTTTCTTTTGGTCATGTTTTCAACTTTCGACATACCAATACATTCTTTCAGTCATTATATTTTCAGTTATTATATTTAATGATAACTTCAACTTTGTAGTGTTTTCTATTTGATGCTTGGTTTTTGTTTCTATTCAATTGAACACTAAATATTAATGTTATTTTTCTGCCTATTAACATTTTGTTATAATCCTTCGATTAAGTTTCAACTTATCAATATGTTCTTTGATTTTTCAGTTATTAAATTTAATGATAACTTCAACTTTGATGTAATATTAATATTAAATTTTCTGTTTAGTTTAATGTTAAATTAGTAGCGGTTAAGTCTCTGCATTTTTTCCTGGTTAAGTATCTGCATATTTTCGTATTTTGGTTTTCGTATTAGATGTTAACTCACCTTTAAATCATTCTTAATAATTAATATTAGTATTTAGTGTTGTACAGTTGTACTTAAGGTAAAAGTAAATGATAGTTTTAATTTTCTATTAAATTAGTTTTCTATTAATATTCAACTATTCCAGTTTACATCACATATACGCTAGATATATATTAATATTATGCTAATATATCATTTTTGTTATTTTTTTTCGCCATAGATAGGTTTTTTGGTGCGGTACCATCATGACTAAATCGAATAAAAATGATCCTGCGTGGAAACATGGTGACGAAATTGAACGAGAAGGGTTAAAGGGCAAATCTTATAAATATGTAAGATGTAGATATTGCCTAAGATTGTTACAACATTATGATTTGTTTTAATATTGCATTTGCTGGTTTCTCTTGAATAATATTTTTGTTATATATATTTATAATATATGTATAATTATGTATATACATATATTTTTGCCTTAGCTATACGCCTCATTGCGCAATGAGGCTTACGCAATATGCAATTCTAAAAAACCGCCATAGTTACGCAATACGCAATTTCGAACATTGGTTTGTTCCCTACATGGACTTTTTACTATAAATAGAAATGGGTTAGCTAAATAAAGGAGGCTGCGTGGACTTTCAGTCTTGACATTATGTTATTATTATTATATTATATTATTATTAATTATTAATATTAATATAAATCCAGCGTTTACATAGAATTGAATTGTGTGTGTGGTAGGATCTTACGATCCGAGTTAAGATCCCCGAGTTACGATCTCCTAGACCCGCCCGATCCGTGCTAGGATCTCGAGTTTAACAACCTTGGGCTGGTGCACTAGCCAATTGGGAGGTTTAATGGTGCTGTTTTAAGTTTTTCTCTTTTTTCATAATAAAGCAAACTATATTATGTATTGCTTCTTGCTTTGATTGCCTTTTTTTGAATACTTACTGGTAATGGAGGTGTGTACATGGATGAACGAAGCAATTTTTTTACTTTACTTTGGTGAACCATGTTTCCCTGCTGATAATCTCCTATGTTGCATCTAGAGATCCACCAATTTTGGTTCCAATTCAGAGAGAGGCAGCAACTGATCAAGACCTCAAACGCAAGGCATTGGAATATATTACCAACGTATGTAACCTTTAATGATTTGAAATGCCGTTGAATATTTGTATCATCCGTTTTGCTGATTTACTTCTTTAGCTTCGAATCTACTATGATGCACCTAGAGATCCACCAATTTCGATTCCAATTCGGAGAGAGGGAGAAAGTGATCAAGACATCAAATGCGCTAAATTGGCATTGGAATATTATAACAAGAGAAACGTATGTAACCTTTAATGATTTGAAATGCCGTTTAATATTGGTATCATCCGTTTAGCTTATTTCCTTCTTTAGGTTCTAATCTTCTTTGCTTTACCTTCTTTAGGTTCTAATCTTCTTTGCTTTACCTTGTAGCTGTTGGCCTTCAATGTATGGTCACCTGTCCATGTTTAATTTGCAGGGGAAGAAGTATGAACTTGTGGAGGCTGGGTATAGTACTGTCTTTTTATATCGTGGCATGTGGTTTCACTGCAACTTCAAGGCTAAGCCATGCAGGAATACTTGCGGAGATGGGAATGAGAAGGCCTCCACCAAATCCTTCTTTGCTGAGCTTCGTGTGGATTCTGAACTTGGAAGAAGAGTGGTTACTGCCTGTCGTATTTTAAGAGGTAAAAAGGCGTTTCAAAGTTTTCCCAGGCAAATCTTTCCCGCCCCTAGGATTTCAGACTGGGGTCGGGGGTAGTGTAGAGAAATTGCTATGAGTGCGCAAGCGTTCTTGTCCATATAAATCTCCAGGATGGGCTTGTTTCAATTTTGTTCTTTTTTTTTTGTAATTTTTTCACTGATTTTATCTCATACTGCGTTTAGATACTGAGGTCCGGGACAGAATGGGATGACATAGAAAGTAGGAAATGAAAGTACTACTTGGTGCTCATGGAAATGGGATAATTAATAGGCAAACTGAATAGTACACTTTTCTAAGAGGGAAGGGGTTTATTAAAGCTGCAGAAACACAGATAATAGTGGACCTGGGAAAGCAAAAAGATGGGTGTTACCAGCAAGTATTCTGTCCTGACTATATATTTTTCCTACCTAATGTAAATGGGTGTACGATGTACCATCCATTTTCGCCAACTATTTTTCCACTTAATGTAAATGCATGCCCTACCCCTTTTCTTTTATTACGTTTGAGAATAGATTTAGGTTATGGGATGTTGACGGAGAATGAGAGTAAAACTTGTCACCGCGTGCTTTGATGTGTGCAGGGAAACCTACTGGTGGTTGTCAGTTTTGCTACAATATTATTGCTCATCCTACCCATGGATTTCGTATGGGCCTCTGCCGTGATAAACTCCGGGCATTGCGTTCTAATCGGTATTTGACTAAGCTCTGAACTCAAATAAGATGCTCTGTACTAAAAATAAATAAATAAATAAAGAATTCATGTAGGTACCGTTATAAATGTATTAACTTTTCAATTTAATTTTTTTCTGCATTCTAAATATAATGAAGCAAATGTGTAGGTGCATATATATATATAGGGAGCAGTTCCGGTATGAACAAACTCGCAGGAGAAAAATGAGTGAGCATATGTATAATTAATAGCATCAAATTTAAAAATTCTTAAAAATTTATTGTAAATGATATATTGTTCTCACAATGCACCAAATTGTTCGCAATATACGCAGCGGCTTTGTTACATGGTTTCTTAATGTACGAGAAGTCTAAATTGTACCCCTCAAATATTTCTTTAATAGCTAGCAAAATGGATAGAGCTTTCCAATGTGATCTTACCGCCCCCTTTATAGTATGTATCACATCCAATAACAATTTTAGTGTAGTTCTCTTGTATAAAAACTATCACAAGTAATGGAAGTGGAATTCAGATTAATATGAGAGTTTCTCTGATAATAGCATGCTTTAAGAAGGCGCTTAAGATGCGGGTTTTGAGGCGCGCCTCAAGGTGAGGCGTACTGATTGGGTATCAGGGCTTAGTTTTTTTTTTGCAGGTTAAGAGGCGTAAAAGTTGATGTGTACGCCTTGAGGCGTTTTTCCTTTGTTTCTCTGTTTTTAATGTGCAGTAACTTAAAAAAGGGCCAAAACATTTCATTTAATAAAAGGCCCAGAGTACTTTTTAAATAGAAATCCATTAATTAATTAAATATTTGGCCACACTAAACCCTAACAAGACTTGTTTCATTTCAAGCCTATACTTTCTATTCATCTTTCAGATTGTGTGTGATGTTTCTGCTTGTGTGTTTGAATTCTAATGACTTACTGGTATTAGCTCAAATGTCTTTGTGTTTCACACTTTTTGGACTTATAATTATGGATATATCCTTTACTTCTTTAGTTGTTTGTTAGTTTGTTACTGGTTTAACTATTTTATGTTTTATGTCTATATATTTTGAGGCTTACGCCTCAATAGTCTCAAGGCTTACGCCTCCTCGCCTCTTAGGAACAAACTGCCTTGATACCCGCCTTTTTAAACCTTGGATAATAGATAGAATAACCATGATCATTCTGAACAATTAATCCTAAAATGTGACCACCATTCGTATCAGAAACCAAGGATATATTAATCTTAATGTAAGTATTACTAAAACTACTTCGGAATCTGTTTTATAATAAATAATAATAACAACAAAATTGAATATATATGAAATATTGATAAGAAATAAAAGATAAAACATAATTTGATGAGTGTGTGTTCAAATATTTTACTATATGTCAATTTTCAGATAAAATAAGTAATGTTAAACAAAATTTATAATAGAATTAATTTTAAAGAAAAAGGAACAAATGAAAAGGGGTCCGGACCAGCCATTTTTTTTCATTGGAAACGGGGACAAATGAAAAAATAGAATGGTGCCCCGTCCAACCGGCCAATTTTTTTTGCCTTGGAAACAGGGACTAATGAAAAAAATGGAACAGGATCGGGTCCCGACCAAGACTGGAACCGGGACCAGACCGCCCGAATACCCGGAATTGCCTAGAACTGGATTTAACCGGGTTGGACTCGGGCTTCTCTTACCAACGATCGGGACCACCCATAATGATGATAAGTGATAATAAATGAAGATTATTTCATAATCATCAAATACTTGTTGGGACTTTTTGTATAGCTTGCATCAATTGATCAAGCAATACTTTTTGTACAACTCCTACATGGCATACTTGTTGCTCATGTTATTGATTACGTTATTTGTTTTAACTTGGGTTTTACTTGTGTACTATTAATTGGTTGATCTTTTGCATCTCTACGCCTTGGTTATTCATAAATTCTTGTATAGGTTAAATGTAATTTCTAGAGTGTCTTTTATGATTGAGAATATTTGGTGTTATGTTGTAATCTTTTGCGGTCCCAAGTTCTAATTTGGTCAGTAACGTGATATTTTCATGACAAGTCAAATGGAGTGGCAGTTGTTATTTTTTGGCGAAACTATTAGCTTAAATAAGATCCTACATATACTTAAATGACATTCAAGGCCTTTTCCAAGATCCCTAGCTCCATGCATGAATACATAGACGCTCTAATTAGTAATTAGCTTGACTATTAACTTAAATAAGATACTATTTGATGAATAAGTGAATGAATATGTATGCATGTATGTATGCACATTTTATTATGTAATCCAATTCAGTCTTTAACAAATGGGGATTTACACCTGGGTTGTCAGTTCAAGTTTGGTGGATGATGGCTCTGGACATAGCCTCGTCTGATTTCTGGGATGGCGTTGCTTGCAAGGAAATCTTCTGAATGTACTCTCTATTTACCCAATTGCATCTTGAGATTATGCCATCCATCTGTAGCCATCTCCAAATAACAACACCTCTAATGTCTCACTGAAATCTCCTTTTGTAGGTGGATGCTGGAGTTTTTTTTTATTATTAATTTCAGAAATTAGCAATGACCTCCTTTCAGGTTTGATATACTATCACTCACATCCCTGCACTATAAAAACTGCACTCTCAGTTAATGATGGCCAAGTAAAAATATAAAAAATGATCAAAATGGACTTGATTGAAAAAATTCAACCAAAAGAACCATGATTTAATAAAATTACACCATTAAAAGGGAACAAAATTAAAATTTGAAGGACTTTATCTAATTTCTCAAAATATAAATTACAAGTTACTTAACCATCATCAAATGATAGAGTGGTAAGAGTACATTTTTGATACTGCAGGAGTGTGCGTTATACTACAAATGTACTAAACTTCAAGGGAGGTCAATAATAATTTCCTTTTATTTTTGTTCCTTGGGTGTTGTTGATGTCAATCACTTGGGTTCAATTCCAAGGGCTTGGCTTCTATATTGTCCTATTTTGCTACTTTGTTGAGGTTCTAAAATGTTTAGTGACTTGCATTTTAGACAAGACATGTTTATTTATCTAAACAAATTCTACCTTAACTTGTTACTACTATAATTGTAGACCACTTACTCAAAAGATTTTTCTTTAAATATTACTTCCTCCAGTCATAAATAAACTTCTGATACAGTATATGATGCTTGATCGATGATAAAGTAACTCGATCCTTGTTCACATTCGAATTATTTTTAGTAAATGAACCTACATATTCAGAACCTACAAAGCCTTATCAAGAAAATTTTAATTTTAATTTGATAAAAAATTGATTTATAAAGACATTAGGAGTGATTGAAGTCGAGTGTGAAGTTTATTTAAGACTGGAGGGAGTCCTAGTGACTACCAATATGGCAATATAATTGTCGATCAGTGTCCTCACCGGTTTCACTGAAGTGGTGAAAATGTTTTATTTGTCAGAAATTGTTTCTAATAATTTTATTCACTGAATATTAAAAAATTGAAAAAAAATTGAGTTTTTTACAATTTTTTTAAGGTCATATACTCATATGCTATCATAGCACTTAGCCACGGGAAACTACTACATTTTCAAAAGTACACAACGAAATGTAAGGTAGACGTGTAAATATAAAATTATAGGGATGTTTTAATAAAATTTGAGTCCCAAAATATATAGGGATGTTTTAACGAAATGTGGGTCGCAAGCACTTATACAAGCGTTTGTAAAAGCATTGGCTGTGCTTGTGTGAGTTGTGTCGCTAGACCTTGTTGCTAAATCCTTGCGTGACTTGCGTCCGTATAGAATCATAAAAGCGTTATATGTGAGAGGCTTTTAATGAACCAATCAAGGTGCACAATTAGCTTCGCCAAATACAGTTTTAATTTAACAATGCCCCGATTGTTTTTTATGATAAATTATATTATACTCAAATTTATGTGGGAATAAGAATACTACATACGATTATACGAATGAGAAAACTGAATTAGAAATATTCAGTTTAATTTGTATTGTCAAACTATTCAAAAAACAATAAATGCATTACTAAATCCGAAGTGCTAATGTTTAATTTGTACGATAGTACAATATTTCATTCAAGAATAATAAACACACTAATGTATTAAGATTCAAAGATATCCATCATATTTCATCAGTTGTGCGATGGAAGAATCGCAGTGGCTGATTTCTTTAAGGTGCATGTGCATTAGAAGGAGCAACATTATCACCCTATATCAAACAATATTAAATTCTTAAAGTAAATATATCAGAATAATTTGAGTCAGAACCATAACGAATTTGCAACTTCCTTTTCAACTTCATATATACCTGCCATCAGCAGTTTTTAATTTGGCTCTAAAAAGCATCATCAAACCTAGTTGTGGCCTCGGGCCAGCGGTTCAAGAATAGGGGGCCCGGGACCGGCCCGGGTGGCCACCGGGTCCGGGCCGGGCCTCCGGTTTGGTTTTTTTTTCCCCCTTTCTTAGGTACCCCTGACCCCCCTCCACCCCTCCAAACCCCTCCTAACCATCAAGCCCAACCCGGGTTAGTCCCAAAAAAATGAAAAAAAAAAAAAACCAAATTGGGCCAGGTCGGTCACCAAAACAGGCACCTGAGCCCGGAACCGCCCTCCCCCCGGGCCTAGGCCCGACCCGGACCTGAAGAACCGGGCCGGTCTGGTCCCGCACAGTAGCGGGCTGGTTCTCGGGCCGGGCGGCCCGCACCGAGGCCAGGTCTAATCAAACCTCATTTGTTGGTCTCCTAGCTAGAATCCTACAACACTGAACACCCCTAGGAAACAAAAAATGCATTTACGATGGAAGGGTCTTTTAATAACAACTTAATTGGAGGAAAGAAATTAGGAACCAACCATCGGGTCATGAAAGCATATCTATAATCAAACCTTCACCTGCAATTCTGCAAAAACTCCATCCAGATCAGATTTCTTATTTTCTGTAGAAAAAAAATACTATATTATCAATCTGGTAAGAAAAACCAGTACACCTTGCAGAAGTAAAAGAGAAACACAAACACACCAAAGTAAGAGCTTAAAGGGATCACACCCACTCTGGCGCCGAGAGCAGGGGTGGATCCGCCTTCAAAGCCAATACAAGCGGCGGCGGGGGGGGGGGGGGGGGGGGGGGGCTTTGCCGTGAGTCCTGTGATACGGTTGGGGTTGACCGTTGAAGCCGTTGAGCCGTTGTGGTGGTGGAGGAAGGTGGCTGCCGGCGCCACCACAAACATACCCATATCCGGTGATAACCCGTAGTTGATTTGCATCTTCCTAGCGGCAGAGGAGTTCCACTGCCCATCATGTGCGGCGGATGCACTGCCACCGTCAACGGCGGTGCTGACAGAATCATGAGCAGCATTAAAACCCAAAGAAAGGTCTCCAAAGGCTGCAGCATCAGAGTAATGAGAAGCAGAGGAAGAAGCCACACCCCAGTCTGCTATATTGCTATCTCCAGGTTGCAAGAACAGCCGCCGCCTAGCAGTAGCCACAACTGCAGATTATGTGGTTCCAAAAACAAATTTAGAAAACAAAACAATCAACTTTGAAGTACTGTAATCATTGGGGTCTACATAGTACTAAAAGGTAAATTTTATAATTTGACATGATGGTAAAAAAAGCCCTGCTTAAACATCATTTCATCAAAAACCTCACCAACCTGCACATGGTAGAATAGGCAGAATAGGCAGGTATTACTCCAGAGAGAAAAGTGCGATTGTTTTGGAATGAAAACTATTATACAATTTTGGTATTTTAGATAGTAAACTACTTTTATGTTTTTGATCATCTTTTCCTCACTAACCTGCACATGGTAGGTTAGTTTGCAAAGGGTTGGTTTACAACTACTTTTAAAAAAGCATTTCTCAACTTTTGACTTTAAAAAAAATTTATTTTACCAAACACTACAACTTTTGTTTTTCTCGGCTTTCATGTCAAAAGTGCTTTTACTTTTTCTATTACACAAAAAGCACTTATTTTACCAAACACTACCAACTTTACTTTTCAAAATCACTTTTTTCTCAAACACTATCAACTTTTATTTAATCACTTCTCTCCATTTCATAAAAAAAAAGCACTTTTTTAAAAGCAGAAACTGTTGCAAACAGACCCTAAATCGGTTAAAAGTCTAACGTGTAATGTTTTGAAATAGAACTAATTGCCTTCCGTAGGACTAAATTTTTAGTCAAAATCTCAAATAGGAGCAATTAATTTATTTTCTCTAAATGGGACCACCATTCCAAAATTACCCTCATACGTGTGACATTATGCTCCGCTCAGACCTTTCCCCCCTGCTCCACACATTATTACTCCATATTCAATTTCCCTTCCTCCCTGATAGATTAGGTTTTCTTCTCCTCTCATTTTCTTTGATTGGCAACCTGCAACGAGCCCTTCAGATGCGACGAGGGTGGCGGAGAGCGGCGGCGAACATCGGCGAGCATCGGCGGACTGGTGGAGTAAAGTAACTCATTCTTCTTCCTCCTTCCTCCTTCTCAATCTTCTGTGTTTGTCTCTTTCTAGTATTCTGTTCGGTCGCAGATCTGATGTCCATCTTCTTCTTTGGTTTTTACAATTGCCAATTTTCCTCTGGAAATGCCATCAAAATGGCATTTTTGTTCTTCAAAAACTTTCTATTTACCTTTGAAAATGCCATGAATATGGCATTTCCGATTCGTGTTGGCATTCTGCTAAAAAACTGACGACATCGGCGATGGTGGTCGGAACTGCAGTAGCAGTGGCCGGATATGTGGGGGTGGCTACCGGATTTTTAAGGGCGGCAGTTGGTGACCGGCGGTGGCCAAATCTGCTTAGATCTACGGCGGCGGCCAGGCCTGCAACGGAAGCGGTCAGATCGGCAGGGGCGGCTAGTTTTGATGATGCAACGGTGGGTTGTGGCGGCCAGCGGTGGCCGACGGCGGTCAACAACGGTCGGTCCGGCGGTCGGTCGGTCGGTCAGTCAGCGAGAGTATGTTTGTCAAGTTTCAGGGGTATTTTTGTATAGCTACATATAATAACTCCCATTTGGGGAATTTTTAAACTTTAGTCCTATTTTAGCAATTAATAATTTAATTACTCCTATTTGGGTAAATCCCCCTTTGAAATACTACCTCCATCCCTTAAAACTTTGCCAAAGTTGACCAACACGGAGAGTAATAAAGTAAAAATTTTGTGGTTGAGGTTTGTGCAGAGGAGAGAGAAATAACAGAAACCACAAAATAATTGATTGAAAGGGAAAGTGGTAAAGTTATTTGGGACGTCCCAAAAAGGAAAGGTGACCGTGTTTTAAGAGACGGAGTGAGTAATATTTTATACTAACAATATTAAATGGTTTGCTTGCAACCGCTTAAAAAATACAAGGGTTGGTTTGCAACCGCTTAAAAAAGCGCTTCTCAGCTTTTGGCTTAAAAAACACTTATTTTACCAAACACTATCAACTTTTATTTTTCTCGGCTTTCATGTCAAAAGTGTTTTTACTTTTTCTATTACACAAAAAGCACTTATTTTACCAAACACTACCAACTTTTACTTTTCAAAATCACCTTTTTCTCAAACATTATCAACTTTTACTACAATCACATTTTCCAAAAAGTGCTTTTTCAAAGTAAAAGCAATTGCAAACACTCGCAAAGAGATGTTGAGCGCTCGTAATTTGCGAAGTAAAATAGGTTAGGTTGAAATATTACAGAGTATATTTCATAAGGGTTTTACCCAAGCAGACATTGAATGCAGTTTTTTAAAATGCTACAATTCGCCCCTGCGCCAATTGAGTTTACAAAAAATATAAAATTTACCCCGTTTTGAGTTTCTTAATCGGTTAACAGTCTAACGGATAATGTTTTGAAAAAATATTTTATACTAAAAAAAAAAGGATGACACTCCACCCCTGAGGGCCCCCCAACACCGACCGGACGGCACGATGGGAGGATGTAAATTGGACTATAATCACAATCTGACAGATAGAGAGTGGGGCTCTGTCCCCGGTACTTGCAGAGGCCCTATGCATTTTTCAGCATAGTAACCCCTCATCGCAGTTGCCGGGATTCGAACCCGAGACCTAACCCTTGTGGCACTCCCTTGCTACCAGTTGAGCTACGCCCACCGGTAAAAAAAAAAAAAAATTTATACTAACAATATTAAATGGTGATATAAATATAATGAAAGGTAGAATTGGATATAAGTAGCCGTTTTTTCAATTTCAAACTTATAATTATTTTTGGACTGAAAGACCTCTGTACTAAAGCGCATAAAGACTGTTTCTGGATGATCCATAGTGAAAATCGCATCGGAAATTGCATGAACTGACTGTTGCTTCATAACAAAGAAGCGCAAACAGTTTTGTGACCCGTTTTGCTTTACTCCATCATATTCCCAAGCCAAAGAATAGTGAGTCCTTGGCTCCCTTGCAAATGATAGAAAAATCCATCTTATTTCATCTATTTTTTCTTATTTTTCTATTTTTTTCCCGAGTTACATGTAAATTGATCACACGTACATCCACAGCATTCATTTGGATATATACAGACAATTATAATCTTTGTTTGTGCATACAATTCAAATTGATCACACCAAAAAGAAAAGTTGATCACAGAAACTACTATTGTCTATGAGTCGCACGACTGCTGTTTGTGTGATAAATAGTCTGTACAGACAAACAAATAATTGTTTGTGCAATAGGAAAATATTGTCTGTGCACACATGCAAGACACATAATTAGATTGTTGCAATATGATGTCAGTGTCAAGTGGTTGTCGGTGTACTTTTTACACAAAAATATTGTTTGTGCAACATAAAAATATTGTCCGTGCACGCAAACATGTCACATATATAGATTGATTTGCAAGGCGGTGTCAGTTCAGACAATTGTTATCATACTTTTTCACAAAAATTAATATCTGTGGACACAAACAAAAGTTGTCTGTGTACACATGCAACTCTTGTCTATACTCACGGGCAACTCCGTACCAATTGCCTGTGAATGATAATTTGTGTACAAGTTGTGTATAACTTGCAGGGCCGGCCTCGAGAAGTAGAAGGCCTTGTTCAAAAATAAAATATGAGGCCCTAATAAATCAAAATAAATTAAATTACTAGTCATAATGTTGGGCTAAGTGACTAAATAACAGTAGTAATAAATGGCGGACCTAGGCATCTGAGTCATGGTATGCACACAGTACTTTCTCAGTCCCAGATAAGGGTTTCCATGCGGTTTATGATATTTGACTAGTCATAAAGATAATTAAATCATGTTAATAATAAGTTCATTTTTAGTGAATAAAATTTACATATTTGAAAACTACATTAAAAGTTTTATGAAGTCACCAAAAAAAATCATATTTGATAAAAGTTTAATATACTACGTATAAAGCAACAGATTAAGAATAATTTACGTTGACCAGAACCTTTACCTGAATCGAGAACTTTTACGTGAAACGGAGGAAGTACTACTAATACACTTATATGAACATAATAAAAGAAAAAAAATACATTTATAAATTAAAGTAAAAAGCACCTTTTATAGTTTATCCGGTTCCTAATTTTAGGGATTTCAAGTAACTTATTTGAAAAAGAAAAGTGAAAGGATAAGAAAGCAAAGAGCGCTTTAGGACCTTAGGTGTTTGGGTTTGAACGCAGCTTGTTAATCAATGTTGCTATAGTTGTTGTTTAACAAAAAAAAATCATTCAAGGAATGCACCTTTGAAGCTTTGTAAATTACAAAAAAAAATCATTTAGGGAACGCAACCTTGTAGAGATGTATTGCATGTCTAACTGTATTATAAATTGGAATTCAACGTGATTATTTCATTCACCTTCGTGGTGTATAAACTCTCGTATTAGAAGAGGCATGCGTGAGCTGTGCATTGTACAACAAGAATTCAAAATAATTTGAATATACAACAATACTAACCATTTATGCGGAAGCAGGGCCGTCTAGAGCAATTATGAGGCCCTAGAAGATCATATATTTTGTTCAAATGAAATATCAAATGAAACATAAGTGAATTATAGATGAAATGCATCATATAATATTAATTTAAAGGGAGTATTCTTCAAAACCAAAAGATCCAAAATTGATAAAAAAAAAATGGATTATGTATAGTAGCGATCCATAGAGTTAGCAAGCGATTTATACTCATGTTCTTTCTTAATTTGTTCTTTCTCTTTGTACATCTCGAGTCATGCTTTCTTTTTCTCGTCACCAATTTCATACAACTTTATACAATTTCTAACTAGATAAAGTTTTTCTAACTTTCAATATTCAATAATACAAGTACAATTAATCAATTGTAGAAATATACAATCAATTAAATGACTAGATTGAATTATTATTATTATTATTTGGATTTTGGTTTATTATAATAGATTGATACACCCAATACTTAATAGCCTAGGCCCTACAACGCCTATTACCTACTGCCATAACCGATTAAGTAGTAAAAAATTAATAATTGAAGGTAAACAAATTAAAAGATAAATCAATAAAATCAATAAAGAAGGATTTGAAGCTGCCAGAAACAAAGAAAGACAAGAAAGTTAGAAATTACAAAAGTCGAAGACCATTACGGCATTACGGAAACAGATGCCTTGACTCTTCCGCAGGTTTTTACTTGATATAGGAGATATTTTATCACAATAAACAATTTAAATTAAACATACATATATAATATATATGGGCTTACATAAAAAAAAATTGGAGGCCCCAAGAATTTGGGGGCCCTAGACAATTGTCTAGGCTGCATGCCCCCATGGCCGGCCCTGTGCGGAAGTGATATTCTGAGTGGCCGAGTCTTTTGGACGGCATGCATGGGACATGCACTGATGCACACGTTAACACCCCCCGCAGTCAAAGCGGGAGGTGGCCGGATGCTTAGACTGGAGCGGAACTCGTCAAATAAAATAAGGGGAAGGCCTTTGGTGAAGATATCGGCAAATTGATGACGTGATGGAACATGAAGAACTCGAACCTCCCCGCGAGCAATCTTTTCTCGAACGAAGTGGATATCCATTTCGATATGTTTGGTGAGATGATGTTGAACGGGATTGCCGGACATATAGACTGAACTGATGTTATCACAATAGACCATAGTAGCTTTGGAAAGAGGACAGTGAAGTTCGAAAAGGATCGGAGATTCCGTAACCAACATGTCTCGGCGACAACATTAGCTACACCCCGATATTCAGCTTCGGCACTTGAGCGAGATAGAGTCGGTTGCCGTTTAGAGGACCAAGAAAGAAGGTTGTCTCCAAGATAGACACAATAGCTGGAGGTGGACCGGCGGGTATCCGGGCAGCCACCCCAATCAGCGTCGGAGTATGAGATTAAGCTAGTGATGGAGGACGGCTTAAGGTGCAGGCCGTAGTTAATAGTGCCTTTGATATAACGGAGAATCTGTTTGAGTGCATGAAGATGAGGCGCACGAGGGTCATGCATGAACAAACATATTTGTTGAACGACATATGAGATGTCGGGACGGGTAAAAGTATGATATTGTAGGGCACCGGCAAGACTCCGGTGGAGAGTAGGGTCATCAACTGAGGGGCCGGCAGTAGCACTTAGTTTCGAGGTTGTGTCAACTGGTGTGGCTACTGGATTGCAGTCCGAAAGATTTGCCTGAGACAGAATTTCACCGGCATATTTTTGTTGATAAAGAAAGAGACCGTGAGGGTGGCGGGTTATAGCAATACCCAGAAAATAGCTGAGAGGGCCAAGGTCCGTCATGGAAAATTCGGCGGCTAATGTTTTAATTGTAGAGCACCGAAGTTCATCCGAAGAAGTTGTAAGAATGATGTCGTCCACGTACAATAATAAGCAAGGTTGTTAAAATCTCGATTTAAATCGTAAAATCGTACGATTTTACGATTCTACAATAATAAATCGATTCAAATCGCAGGTAAAATCATAAAATCGTACAAAATCGTAACAAAATCGTACAAAAATCGTGTAGAATCGTATAAAATCGTATCAAAATCGTAGCAAAATCGGAATAAGTTTTTTTTAGTGAAAATGGTTCAAATTTATTAAAATTAACTACTACAAATTGATACAAAATTTCAATAATAATAACATCAATAGTATATTTAAAAAAGTAATGGATTCTTGTGTTATTTAATTATTTTTATGTTTTACATATGTTTAATGTTATTATTCACTCTATTTACAATATAAAAATAGTTTATAAATCTTGTTTTTGACCTTGTAGGTATAGTGGTATGTAATAAAATGACATAATACCATTAACTTGCAACTTAATTTTAATATTTATTTATTTTATAATTATTAAAATATGTTTGATAAAATCTTACGATTTGCGATTCGATTTTACGATTCGATTTTCAAAAACATCTACCAATTCGATTCAAAAATACGATTTTAACAACCTTGATAATAAGTAGGCAATATTGTTGTTGTGATGATACGTAAACAGAGAGGGGTCACAAACACTATGCCGAAAACCAATGGTGGAGAGAAAAGATGAGAACCGATGATACCATGCTCGTGGCGCCTGTTTGAGACCGTAGAGAGATTTGAGGAGCCGGCATACATGATGAGGCTTGTAGGGGTCGCGGAAACCGGGAGGTTGGTGCATGTATACCGTTTCCTCCAAGTGGCCGTGGAGGAATGCATTCTTGACGTCAAGTTGATGTAGAGGCCACGAGTGATGTAATGCTACGGATAAAACAGTCCGAATGGTGTCCGGTTTGACCACTGGACTGAACGTTTCATCACAATCAATGCCAAGTTGTTGAGATTTGCCGTTGACCACAAGTCGTGCTTTGTGGCGTTCCAATGCTCCATTAGACCTGTATTTATGTTTAAACAACCAAAGACAACGAATGATGTTGGTGTTAGGGGGCGGGGAACCAACTCCCACGTCCGATTTTTAATAAGGGCACTATACTCGTCTTACATGACAGCGAGCCAATTAGGGTCACGTAACGCAAGGATAGGAGATTTTGGGAGAGGAGAGGGTATGACTGATGAAGTTTGGGATACGAGGGAGACAAGATGTTTTGGTATAAAAATACCCACCTTGCTACGTGTTACCATCAGATGGTGTGATATTATGGGAGGTGGTGAGGTGGAATTGTGTTGACGGTGGAATGTGTTGACGGATGGAGTCAACAGGTTGTTTGGGAGGAGGGGATAATGGGGGGCTAGGTGGAGGAGTGGAATTGGCACTTGGAGTTGGCTGACTATGAGACGGTGGGGTAGAATTATTCTGGAGATAGGATAATAGGATAGGGTTAATTGAAGATTGGAGGAAATCATAGTTGGGTGGAGTTGTGGTCTCGGTCAGAGACTTGTATGGAAAGACTTTTTCATTAAAAGTGACATGCTTGGACAAAATAATTCGGCCGGTGAGGGGATTGAGGCAAATATATCCTTTGTGGTGAGTAGGGAATCTGAGAAAAATGCATGGCGTAGAGCGAGCATCTGATTTGTGGATAGTAGAGGGTGGGTGATGCGGATAACACAAACATCCGAAGACCCGAATATGTTCATAGGATGGTGTTTTGTGGTACAGTAGGTGTACGTGTAGGGGAGAGATGGGAAAGGGTGGAGGAGGGTAAGACGTTATGTAAATAAGTAGACATTTGGACGGCGTGAAGCCAGAATTTTGGCGGGATAGAAGCTTGAAAGAGCAAAGTTCGAGCCATGTTATTAATAGTGCGTATGGTACGCTCGGCTTTGCCGTTTTGGGGAGATGTGTATGGGCATGAGAAACGAAAGTGTAGACCATGTTGTGTAGCAAAAGTGGAAAAAGATGAATTATCAAATTCTTTACCATTGTCACATTGGAGGGTTTTGATTTTTTGATTAAATTGTGTGTGAATATAGGTATAGAATTTGACAAAAGTGTCAGAGAAGTGATAACATCAAGAGGCTCAAATGATTGGGTGAATATAAAAGAGGCTCAAAATGATAACCTGACAACGATGGGCAATTAAAAGACGCTCAAAATGATTGGGTGAATAGGGTACTGGCAGTATTTCAGAGTCTGACTTTGACGGTGAGTAAGAATGTAGTGAGTATTATGACTCTGAAGACCCCCTAGTTTGTACTCAGATTCTGAAAATGAAGAGGGCCATCAGGTGGATTCAAAAGTGAAGAAAAATTGCAAATGTTCATCATACAATCAAATTCATATTCCAAAGAGGTTCAATTGGAAATGTTGTTTGAAGATGCAAGGGAGTTCAAAGCTGCTATAATAAACTATGCAATTTATTTTAAGCGTGGTCTTAGATGGGTAAGGAATGCGCCCATGGAAGTTCAAGTGACATGTTATGTGAATTGTCCTTTCAGATGCATTAATTCACGGGCAAAGCAGTACCACTGCTTCCAGATAAAGACATGGGTAGGTAGGTACACACATATATGCAATAAAAAATTCAAGGTGAAGGTGGTAAGTAAAGCCTGGCTTAAAGAAAAGTACAAGAATAAAATCAAAGAAAATCCATGCACATGCCAAGTTGAATTGGTAAAGAAAATATAGAATGACTTGAAAATAAGTGTGAATATTACGAAGGTAAAGAGTCATTGCCAGGGTATTAACCTTTTCGGCCAGAATTGCTCCGTTTTTTCTATTTAAACGACATGTATTAATAAAAGATTGGTTTTCTCTCTAATTAACGACTAAGGGAACATGGATTGATTCCGGGGTAACCAGATTTCTAGCAGATCAGGCCTAATTACATGAAATTAATTTAATTGAGCCTAGCTAATCATTACTAAGTTCTTACCGCTCTCGCGGAGTAGAGTACAATAATTTAGGGGACCAGGCTGATCTCTCATGCGACAGGATCCTAAATTATTGCCAAGACGAGCGAGCTTACGGCCCCTTAATCGCTACTAATCTCTTAGCGAACGATTAAGTGTGTGTGTGAAGGTGTCCTAGAATAAACTAGATCTCTCTTAATTTATTCTACAAGCAATTGTAATTCTAGCGTGTGTTCTAGGTTACAAGAGATATCAGTTAAATTATTCAAACACAAATTAAACGGCATACATGCAATTAAACCGACAAGAATTTAGCCATCAATCATGATTAACCCCTTCATCAACCCCAAATCCCTAATTAAACTACTCACAATTCATAATTGAAGAATCAACAGAATTGGGATGGATAGAATAAGTTGTCGTTAATTAAAAAGATGAACTTACAAGTAATCCTATGATTCTCGAAGCAAATAGCGTAAAAACGGTGTTAAATTCGTCCTTAGGCCTCTCCGTAATGTTCGTAACACTTAAACAGGAGAAGGGAAGCCTTATTTATAGAAAACAGATGAGTTTGGGCTGAACTCGGACTAAAAAGGGGCTGAAATCCGCGTTTCGGGGGTACGCACGATCGTGCATAGCAGACTAGCAGGCAGATTAGTTGTCTCATTGTTGGCTCTTACGCACGATCGTGCGTCCTTTTACGCACGGTCGTGCGTCTGTGTTCTTCAGGTGTTGATCTACAGAAGGATAATATGCATTGTGCATAATCACTTCTCTACAGACTTGGAAGAAACCAGTCAACTCTCATTACTCCTTTGAGTACAAGAGTAAAAAAGGCTTCTTCATCAACAATCAGTACATGAGTGCAGTTATATACAAATAGGCAACACAATAGACATTCAGAAATTTGAAATAGGCAACCCATTCACATCATAAGCTTCCACATGATAAGTGATGTTTATCAGTTTATGTCATATAGTCAAGATTACACCTCAAGTAACACCATACATGATACACTAAGTCTGGAACAATCAGCAAACTGATCTACAGAAGGATAATATGCATTGTGCATAATCACTTCTCTACAGACTTGGAAGAAACCAGTCAACTCTCATTACTCCTTTGAGTACAAGAGTAAAAAAGGCTTCTTCATCAACAATCAGTAAATAAGTGCAGTTATGTACAAATAGGCAACACAATAGACATTCAGAAATGAGAAATAGGCAACCCATTCACATCATAAGCTTCCACATGATAAGTGATCAGATGCCATTGTACATTCAGAAAACAAGTAACCAAATAACCAATTCATGTTGACATGTCTAGGTATAAGACAAATAATAATATCATGTCAGGGTTGCCAAAGTGAAGTCTGGCCTCATTGAGTTATATGCTGATTATGTTGTTACATACTCTGATTGTGTTGGTGGAAGTTCTAATTCTAGTTCACATAGTGCTGCATTTGTGGAAGTCAATAATGTTGAGCACATGCCAGTGTCAAGATTTAAGGCTGAGTTAAAAAAAAAAGAAACTAGAGAATGGTCAGTTAGGAATTAAGAAAACTGAACTTGATATATATCTTGAAGAGTCAATAATTGAGGAAGATATGGACTTTGATATACTGAGATGGTGGAAGTTAAATAGTGAAAAATTTCCTATTCTATCTAAGATGGCTAGAGATGTACTTGGTATTCCAATCTCCACAGTAGCTTCTGAGTCCAAATTCAGTACCAGTGGTAGGGTTTTGGACTGTTTTAGAAGTTCTTTAAGTCCCAAAATTGTGGAAGCCCTTATATGTGCACAAGATTGGTTGAGAATGGCTAACCAGCCTATTTCAGTTGAAGAAAACATGGATGATGTGGACAGATTAGAAAAAGGTAGTACTGTTATGCCTTTTTTGTTTATTTAAACATAATTTGTAATATAATGTTTTCATTTTTCATTTCTAACACTGCTATTTCTTTGTTTTATAGAATTAACAGATGTAAATCTTAGTAGTGCTACTACTGACTGGGGCTACTGGATCCTCTAATGTCCCATTGAGTGTACACTTTTTGTCATCATTGCTAATTTTTGGAATTAATTTGTGAAGCATTTCATATTGAATTTGAATATTTGATTATCTGACTATGATGCCTCATTGTGGAACTGGAAAGAACTAGTGAACTACTATGATGGAATTAAGATTCCACTCATTCCAGTGCCTACTTGGTACAATGTTATTGGCCCCTTATCCGTTTGTCCCTTGGTCCCTTAGAAAGCTTGCATGGTAAACCACTTTTATGTTACAGTTCATACCTATGATGATATGAACACACATTTGGCTGTGATGAATGTTTCCAGGGTTTAGAGTTTTGACTTTAAACTTTTGACTAATTATCCCATGACTCATGGATGATTGTGTTGGTGTTAATCCTGTTTGGATAGTATGCCCATATCCTTTGTGAGATCATATGTGAGATAACTTGGAATCAATCTGAGCCTAACTTTGCATACCTTAAACTGTTTATGAGTATTTACTTCTAAAGTTTATGAGTATTTACTTTTACAGTTTACTTATACAGGATGAAATATCCAATATGTTAATTTGATGGTCTGGGGTCTGGAATCTGGATTGTTCACTATGGAGCATGAAGTATGTGTGAAGTAATGAAGTAATCATCTTGTACTGGTATGCTGCTGTTAATTGTTAAATATCAGTCTGATATGTCTGATAAGTATGTGGAAGTTCTGATTTTATAAAAACAGCTCAATCTATATCTTCTAAGTATTATTTTCATTGTATACTCCAATTCTTTGTGAAGTTGATACTTGTTTATGTCTTCTACTGGTAATCTGGTATAGTGGTATGCTGTTATTAAGCTTGTATATAGTCTGAGTTTAAAAAGAAATAGAATTGGATTGTCATTTTCTTTTTCAGTCTATCTTGTGACCCTATTATAACATATCAGTCTGATATATCTAAGGGGTTTAGGGTAGGTATTGCTCTTTCAGTTCTAAAGTGATAACTGAAATGGTAGCGGATGCCCCCTATCCTTTATGAATGATAATAAGCATTCTGAGCCATCTCATTGTCTTCTATAGTCATTTGGGAATTGGGAAGTTCTGATTTTGTAAAAATAGCTCATTCTGTATCTTTTAAGTATTATTTTCATAGTATACTCCAATTCTTTGTGAAGTTGATACTTGTTTATGTCTTCTACTGGTGATCTGGTATAGTGGTATGCTGTTATTAAGCTTGTATATAGTCTGAGTTCAAAATGAA